AGGAACAAACACAAAGTGCATACACCAATTCTCAGATAGAGACCAAGGCTTACACCAAAACCTTCCGGACCCAAACTCAATCTGTCAATAATCGACTACCGGTTCAACTGGAAACGAAGCTTCTCAAGTGCATTTACATGGTCATCTTGGCTTCCGATTCTACAATCAGTTGATATCCTCACTTCTTCATACCCACAGTCGCTTCCAAAGCTATCACAACTCCTCTTCAAAAGGAGGAAACCAATTAACCGCCATATTCGATCGCTACCAACCGTTTGGAAGACTTGGATATAGACAACTACCGCACCACGCAGCATCACTGGCCAAGGTTTTAGATATCTCTTCAACTCATCTGGCCTTGATCATCCCTGCTCCGTAGAGTCCATCGAGCATCTCAGTCGCATTAGATTGTTGAAGCCCTCCGTGTATAAGTTTGAATCCTCGACTTGCACCTGAGTACATCCTCTCGACGTTCTACGCTGAATTGTTGTCTATTACGAGGCCCCATTCGCGAACTATCTCTAATACGGACTCCTTGGATCGGTTCCTGGAAACCGATTGACTGGGTAGATCACTTGCTGCCCTTGTCCCTCCAACACTCGCTATAAATCCACAAGCTTGTCTTGGTGGATCACTTCGTGTATGTCACTTGAGCCTCGTCAAAACCTGTGCGTGTACTTATTCACTTAACAGTTCTAATTTACAGATCCCTCTGTGACTTTTGCAAAATGGCTGGTCCCGGTGGTGGTCCCCCTCGCCGCAGCCACACCAAATCTCGCAAGGGTTGTGATACCTGGTATGTCCCATCAATCTATGATGACTTTGCACAACACTAAAAATTACTCACAGCAAGCGCCGTCATATCCGATGCGATGAAAACTTCCCCCAGTGGTAAGTTGTGATTCGAAGAAGATTTCTTGTTCCTAAGCTAACAAATGAAGCCGAAATTGCACCAAGCACAAGATTCGATGCCCATACAACGATGTGCAGGTTCCTGATGCTGAGCGCTCTACAACTCCCGATAAGCCAGACCTGATGTGGACACCCCAAATTGAAGCCGCCATTGCTGAATGGCAAACGACAGGCATCTTCCCACTCCCCAGCCTGGGAATATATCCTGCCCCAATGCCACACCTGTACTCTGTTGAAGATCTCCGTTTGATCTACCATGTTGCGACGCTATACTACCAACTCGCTACCATCGATGCTAACAATTTCACCCTTTGGACTCGCCATATTCCAACGTACGTCGAAATAACATAACCCTTAAATTGGTATATACTGACTCCGACCTAGTCTTCTTCGAATTGGTGCCACAACACCGTATGTGATGCACGCTCTGCTCGCTTTCTCTGCTATGCATATTGCTTTCCTCACCGACTGCCCTCTAGTTGGCAGCATGGCGTATGAGCACCGCGGCATTGCCCTCAAGGGCCTCCAGGAAGCCATTGGGTCTTTCTCTCGAGAGACATCAGATGCTATCCTTGCTGCCTCCCTCGTTCTTTCATGGCAGGCCACTGACTGGTAAGAATTACAGATTCAATATCTAGTGAAGGGAATTAACAACATAATCAGGCGCAGCTGGACCCAGTTGATGCAAGGCACTTCATCCGTAAGTTGACCCGAGTATAGCAGTAGGATTCTACTGACCAGCAGATAGGTGATCGATGCCATGGACCCCTGGAAGCATGAGTCCCAGTTTGGAGACTTCATCGCGGAGAGTAGCACGTTCCCAACTGCCCCGCCATCTCCCGGAAAGGATCATCGCCCAAGCCAGCCTCGCCCTGAGGATCTGGATGCCTACCATCGAACGCTCGAGCAGATTCAAAAAGTCGAGGCACACCTCAAGTACCACAAGGAAGATACTACACAGATCCAGCATCTCATTGGCTTTCTCCGAGGCTCCCGCAAGATTAGCCCTACGCTCTCCATTGCTCAGCAATTTGAGCGTCTTCAGCCTCTCCGCAAATGGCTCTTCTGGATGCCCGTGGGTTACCTGCAGAACTACCATGGCTCTCCTAACTCGCTGGTCATCATTGCTTATCTGTATACCGTGGCTCTTCTTATGGAACGTCTCTTCCCAGAGATTGGCGCCGCCTATTTTGGCAGTTTGTCTATTTCTCCCGTTGAAGAGATTGCTCGACGACTCATGTCCATCAATGTTTCTGGCGTCGGAAGCGAGATGCAAACTCCCTTGACCCTAATGGAGTTCCCTATCGACACAGTCAGCCAGTTTCGGTCGCGTATGGGATGGATGCACCCCGAAAGAACTCCCTCTTTTCCTCAGTTCAATCCTCGCAATTTCACTATCCAGGAGGAGGTGCCCACCCATGATTCGTATCTGTACAGAAACCCTGCTTTCAGCTACAGCACCGAGGAAATGCCTATGCTCAACGCATCCGGACCACCTTCTGCAGTGAGCCCCCTGGTCTTGTCGCCATATCCAAGCCAGCAGTACCTCAGTGTTCCCTCACCGGCGTACAATGGGGCTTACAGCCCAGCATCATCGACTTTCGAGGGCTCTGTCGCATACAGCGATACTGAGGAGTATGGATCATGGGACATGAACACTCTACAAGGCGGGCCATCCTCATCAATTCAGGACTCCCCTCAAAACTATGGCGTCGGGTTCGTTACTCCTGTCCAGGCTGTGTGGATCTAGGCTCCTCGAGACGACCACTGGCTGAATTTACACAAAGAACATTAGGGGATTGACCGTTACCACCCAGGATGAACACGACACCTACATACCCGCCTCCAGAGGACCCGAGTCTATACATGGCTTCCCTGACGAGCACCCAATCTCCATATATCAAATCGGAGCAATTCGGCATGCTTCCTCTCCCCGAATCTCCCGTCGCGTCGAACGCACCGCTCCCACGACATCGCCATACCTCGTCCATGTCCTCGGCCCCACACCCACCTTCTCCTCTGGCACGACCCCCTGTGATGCACCAATATGACGACAATACCCGACGCCGAGCCACCTGATACCAAGTCCGACTTCGATTCACCCTCACCTGTTGTTACTGTTATGGTTTAATTCGATGTTTTGCTTTTTCCGAAAGCGACGCAGGCGCCATGTATATCACACTCCTTAAACGCTCGCTACACCCGAACCTCTGCGTCAACGACGCTGACACTCCCTACCACTCGACTAACACGTGCATTTGGAAGTGCCGTGTTATATTCCACACTCCTTATGATACCCACTCTCAGAGGAACGACATTCCTTCATACTATGATACCCGATAGACACTCCTTTATGACGACTTATGAGATTTCGATCGGTTATAGAATTCACTCCTTACGGTTTCCGCCAAAGATGGCGGAAGAACCGTATCCGGAAAGCATAGCGACTGTTTTTTGTTTTTTTTACTGCGCCTGGAAAAAAGTTTGGCGTTGAAGGGAGTTTTGAGAAAGCATTTGTTTGGCTCTGGATCATGTTTTATTTTTTGATGTATGTATGCTTGGGATAGGTGCTTGCAGCGCCCGACTCTTCGCAGAGCCTGGAGCAACGATGGAACAACACGGAACAGAAGCACAGTTGCATTTTGGCTTGAATTTACCTGGCTCTTTAAGAGAGGCCATGGCTGGATATGTACGCTCGGGTGATATGAAACATGCGAGGATAGACTGCTTGTTTGTTATATGTTAGCTACGAACATGTTTTTGGATATGTAGGGAAGATTGATGTCTGATGGCAGTTCTTTTATGTTCGGCCCGGAGGTTAATTGATAATCTACGATGTTTACACTCATTTATGCTATTGGTACAAATGTGATTTCTACAATGGGAATTGTGATAATTGACAGCGACCAAGTACTAAGCTGAGCCATGTACGTTTAATTTTCCAGTACATACACCAAAATAACTGACTCGCTCAGCTTTTGGCCACTCCACACAACAAATCTCGATATCATCGGTCAAAAATCTGGTGGTCAATATGAAATATGAAAGCCAATGTATCTAGATAATTTTCTACTGCTTTCTGGTTGAGTTGGGGGATTTGATCTTCTTGTCGCCAGCTTTTTTCTGAACGGGGCTATAGGGATAGACTTGAGTCGCAAGTACCTCGGAATGAAAGGTACATTTAAGCAAATACATTTCAACCCGGCGGCCAGTCTTCCTGTCGCCATTGTGTAGATCTTGTAGATTTATTTAGTCGATGGTGAAACGTTGCGGGCATCAAATATGAACGCAGGGAAATGAAGGTAGTATAAAGGTCTCTCTTTATTAGCTGCTGTTATTTGATGACTGTTAGAGTTAGCAGTTTCACTGTTAAACGAAACATTGTGAAGCGGACATATGCAGCCACCAGACCCCTAGTATGTCCAAGCCATTTCACATCACCTCGCTTCATAATATCGACACATGAAAGGTTGCGATAGTATAAGTGGTTGGGAATTCATGTCGAGACTACTTCCACTACTTCATACTCAAAGTCGCCCATTTTATCATGAGGCAGCGACCGAAGCCTCATCCAACATCAACGCCCTTACAGCCATCAGTGCATGAGCCACTATCCAAACATCCATGCGCTCTTCGATCAGTCCCAGATACGTAGTGGTGAGCCATGTTCAAGGAAACAAAGAAGCATCAAAACGAGAAAAAGGAGCGCAAATCCATCCAGGTTGTTGGTATCAATATTCCATTCCGGCCCCCTTTCCAGGAACTCATATCCAGCTGGTTCACAACCCTGAGACCGAAGCGGATTTCCTGTCTAAAAATACAAATAAAAACAGACGACTGCCGACCGTTTGGAGGCTCTTCTGCCTCGGAAACGTGCGCCTGTCAATGCTCAAAACTCCAAGGCGCCTGTGCGAGAAAACAACGATTGAAATGGATCATGTATGGGGATCGGTCCTGTCAACTCCGGTATCATATGTTGTCGATGCTGTATCTCTTGAGCATCGTCGTTCGTCTTCCATGTCATATTCAGACGTTAATGAATAACTGTATAAAACTTGTGACGGGGCAGGCCGCATTCGAATGCCCACTCAAGCAGAAGTGCTGCTGCGAGGTCTATTGGACGGCGTTCGGTTCGGTGGCGGTAATCGAGCACTATCACTACGGTCACGACCAGCTCCTTCCCGCATAGCGTCGCTGTAGCTGGGTACTGGTGGTTGGCGAGGACTTGAAGTTTGCCGTGAGGGAAGCACCGTAGCAGAAGAGTTACCTCGGCTGCGGTTCATTACGCGAATAAGAGGCGTATCTTCCTCGCTGTCACTTCCATATCGGCCATCTTCGCTACCTGAATGATCGGGACTTTGGTATTCAGGAGGTGGGTTTGTCGCATCCTCGAGATGCAGATGCAGAGGGTTGTGGTCGTGCGTCTCCTGCTGAGGTGCGGCATTGCTGCTAGCTTCGCCGTTCTCCTCGTTGGGTACGAAATGAGCCAAAGAAATATCGGTCGAGCTTCTGACTGGTCCGGGACTTGTTGGAGGAAGAACGCGAAAGTTACCACTACGTGTTCGTCCATGCGAAGGGTTGAGATCGTTAGATGGGTTGCGTGTGTTGTAAGAGCTTGCAGTGATGGAGTGGCTGTGTTGCCTGCCTTGAGGATAAGTATTGCCGTCTTTGGTGCCAGCTTCTAACAGTATGCTACCCTGCTCGGATCCATAAGGTGGCGGAGGAGCCAGGCTTCCAGTCACAGGAGCCAGACCCCATTTCTTGACGTTGGCCTCAATGAAGACGAAGCCGGCCTGACCAAGGTTGACGTGAATAGTAGCAGGACCATTTGCACCGATGGCAGGGAAGAAGTTTTGCGCCTTGAGTCCGTGAACAACCTCCTCGAGCTTCTTACCATTGCGAGTGAAGAAGATAGCACCGGTTCGAGGACGATAACCCACACCAACGACATCACCCTGCACCAGTGGAGGACCATAGGGAGTCGCGCCGAATGGTTGATTGTAGCGACGGGCACCGGTAGATTGATATCCGACAGAGTACTTGTGATATCCTGGCAGCAAAATCAGTAAATGATCGTGGAGGATCAAATTGTGGCAAACTCACCCGGCAGTCGGAAAAGAGGATAAGGTTTGGTAGCCATGCCGATACTAAGCAGAGTGTTTTCGGGCTTTTCGTATATCTTGGCTTCCCAGTAGTAGACATCGTTTTGTTTGGGAACAGGAAGATTGCTCATGACGGTGCATTCCGAGTCAAAGAATTCAATTTCAGTACGAGCTTCGACAAAGCAGTTGGCGATCTCCAGTTCAGGTTCAAATTCCCATGCGGAGACACCCTTTTCCTGTATGGCGAGGTATTGAGACAGAGAGATATCAGTCTGCATTGATTCGGGTGGGTTGGCAGTAACCCAGGCTTTTGAACGCAACAGACGTTAGTAAAATACATTCGCCAGGTTAGCGAGCGCAAAAGTTTGGTGACATACCTTTTGCACGTAGATATTCCTGGCGAGACATATCATCCATGATCTCGAGGGCCTCAGCCTCATCGCGTGCGAACGCTTGTTCATCATCGTATTCGCCAGGTCGACCGAGACGATCGAGGATGATGCGACCAGTACTCGCACAGCCAGAAACCCAGAAGATAAAGATGACTAGGGCGATGAGGACGATGGAGCCGAAGGATGACACGAGGCCGATGACGACGCCTGTAAAGGCAGACGACGGGTTGGAAGAGAGCCCCATGATGGGCTACGGACAAAGTATTGAATGTCCGCCTCTTGATTTTGATTCGATTTGCTTGTTCTTGATGAGGTCGAGGGATTAATTCAAGGAGAATTGCGTTTGGGTCGGATTGTATAGATCGTGTTGTGCGGATTAGTCGATCGATCGGTCGGTCGGGGACAATCAAGGCACGGATCTTGGCGGACGGCGTCACCGCCGCAAATAGTACATGTAAGAATCAATCGCGCGGCGAGATAAGCAGAAGGAGACGTGGCTGAGGAGTCAGTCGAAGATGAAGTCGCTAATATCGATGAACGGAGGAATCGAAAACGCCGAAAGAAGGTGAGAATGAACCTGAGGAGGATGGGGAACGAGGCCAAAAGATTTGGTGGTGATGGTGAAGGAGGAGAGTGACGAAGACAGGGGAGGGAGAGACGAGAGAAGCGAGGCGTCTTTGGGTGAGGTGGTTGGCTGTTAGTGCTAGAGGATTGGATCAAATGTGGAGGAGGATAAGCCTACCTTAGCTACCATCAGCGCAATACAGACGCCTACTATGTACTAGATTTTAGCCCACGCGATATCGCCACTTGAACGCAAACTGGGGACTATCAGCAAATCAAAAGTTGCGAGATGATTCTTTAAGGCGATCTTTTAGGGAGACATTCATTTAACAGCAGTTTCTAAGAAAAATATTTAAATATGTATATATATCTATATATAATAGGCTCATCCAAGCAGCGAACAATTGTCTCTAGCACTGACAAAAGACTACCTAAGTAGGTAGGTATCGTCATAAGCCCATCGAAGCAGACAGTGGACGTTACCAGTGACCTCCTCCTAGTGGGGTCTGGGCTACCACTTCCCGGGCCCAAGGGTCGACGGAAGCAGCGGGAGCGGGCTGATGGGACATGATAGCGCTTGCATCGTGTTAGCGCGAGTCACCACTTGACGCTGCATAGCACTAACATCCAGCGTGGGGCCTCATGTCTCCCAAGGCTGGGCCAGAACGATCATCATCAGTCAATGGCATCTCAAAGTGGCTGATGAACCTGGACCTGGAACCTTGTCAGACCAGGACAGGAACCAAAAGAAGCGAAGCGAATCGAAATGCGACGCTGATGACGACGTGGAGAGTGAGTTTTGCTACTGACTGACTTTTACGATATTGTATCTCTGACGCGAACAGTAAGAGACCCTAATCACCTAAATCACTCACTCACTCTCTCACTCATTTACAACAGCCGCAGTCTCCCATATCGCATTAATAATACCAAGCAATGCAAAATGCGTTTTTGTTTCGGCCCGGTGCCTGTCTCCTCACAGCTACGACACCCCTAGGTTTCACATCTTCCATGGATCTTAGCGCCTTGTCCATCAAAACAACAGAGCATCTCAGCTCGTATCCTATTTTGAGCGTTCGCGATACGCCTTGCGTCTATTAATTTCCAAGAATTATACGTCAGCCAACGAATTGTCAAATCCTGCAATCCTGAAATTATCCTTAAATAATATCCCAAGGATCTGAAACACGGACTGCTTATGGAAGGTAGTAGCATGTTTAGGGAGACATGTGAGACATTGGACGATAGTTTCATTATTCGCCCTTTTTAGTCAAAGTAAACAAGTTGTTGCAAAGTCGAGATCATAACCTTGGCAATTATTATGGCTGAAACCTCCTTAGTTCAATGCCCCGGATACCTTGGTATTAATGATGCGCCAACTTATATCTACACGTTCACGTTCACGACCATGACTTCATTTTCATGCAAGCTAGAGCATCATGTTTATTCAGTGCATTGCCTATCTCATATTCTAACAATCTCAACATATCAATTCATGTCCGTGATAAACCGTTGCCATGCCTATTTACATTAACGTTATACATCTACATGCACGCAGTGAACCCAACCCAAGCCCGAAACAAGAAAATCGCATTTTACCTTATAGCCCATTCAAGATTTTCGTCATGCCCATATCACGTCAACTTTAACACTCCTCTCCTCGTCCTCGTCGATATTCTCTCTGCGCTCTTCGTGCCCGTCTCTCCTCCCTGGCCCTCTCCCTTTCAAGCTCCCTCAGCTCAGGCATCGGGTGGTGATAACTCTTGGTACCCAGATCGCCACTATCGTCTGTGGTACGGGTCACCTGTGATCCGTCGAGGAGACTCTCGCTGACCTGGCTGTCGGCGCGGGTATAGCTCTCAGCACGCTGATAACTGAAATCGCGACGGGCTGCCCGGCCAGCTTCACGAAGACGACGGGCCTCGGCGCGCATGCGCTCTGCCTCACGGTTCTCCCGACGATCAGCGGTAGAGTAGACCTTGCGGATGCCGCCAGTGGCTTTGGTTGGTGTGGTTGTAGGAGTGGTCTGACGGTCAGAAAGAAGGTTTGTTGAGACGTTAGATTCAGTGCCGGGGTTTGTAGAGCCGTCCCATTCGGAACCTTCACTCTCCTTGTTCAGTCCACCGACGCGGGCTGGTCTTTCATGACGATAGCTGCGGAGTTCCTTTTTGGCTGCAAGTTCGGCTTCCTCATCTTCAACGCCCGCTTCACCAACGTGACGGCTAGTCTTCTTGCCCTTCTTCGCACGCTCACGGTCTCGCTTTTCTTGCTTGCGGCGTCGCTTCTCACGTGCACCAATGTCGCTTGCTCCAGCTGTGATACCGGTAAGTGTTGTGCTCTCTGTGACTACAGTCGTGTTGTCGTCGTCCACGTCCTTGTATACACTGCCACCACCGAGGTTTGTTGGCCGAGTTGCATTTGAGAGAATAGTGCCGTTGGGCCCGGTGCGCCGAAGAACCGTAGATTTGTAGTCATCCCAATCTGTTTCCTTGAATTGGAAGCCACCGTTCTTTGCCCAGAAGAAAAACCAGATACCGGTACACACGAACGCCACACCGATCAGAGCAAAAAGGAAGAAGAAACCGGCGTTGCTGATGTCGTGAGGGTCGAACGAGCCTGATTCAGGCTCGACTGATGGTTTGTGTCTATTGTTCTTGTCGTCGTCTTTATCATCTCGAGCTAGGAGCACTTTACTGCCCTCCAACAAGTGTCCCGAGAGTGTGGAAAAGGCCTCGGCAGCACGAGGGGCGTGCTGTGTGATTGAAGATGCACCGCGCAATGAGCGGATAATAGCGGGTGCCATGATGGAATGGAGTAGTAGAATGAAGAGGTCTCAGTCGAGTATGGATATGTGCAAGCTAGGCTCAGGATGCTGTAGCCCAGCCGAGCTCAATCGTAAATAAGACCAGGCAGTTGACGTGAGTATTCTTGATGTATCAATCGAATGAGTGTGGTAAGTAATGGTTATCGTTAAATGAGCCGTGTAGTGTTGATTATGGAAATAGTGTGTTTTCTGAGATAAGGAGAGAGAAATAATGGAGAGAGAAAGAGTGTTGCGTGGCTCAGGCTGGGCGATGGTGCTTGGTTAACCCAGAAACGAGGCCTGTAAAGTGCGTGGCTGGGATACGCAGCGGGTGGTTGGGCAGCTTCAACGTGCGCGTCAGAATGCTTACAACGCCCTCAAAGCTTGATACAAACATAGAAATAAGGCAATGGCCTTGAAAGATATCGAATCAGGGCTCCAATGATTTCCTTCTCAAGTTTGGATCAGTTTCAATGGCTTTTCTTTCGATCTCATCACCAGAATCCAGCCACAATCTTCAAATGACGTCGAAAGTAAACAATACTCGATCGCTGACTGGGCAACCTCGCACAGAAAGCCCATTTAGTCATCAACCAATAACAGCTGTCCACGACTTTAATGCTCCAGATTTGCAATGCACACGCCCCCCTTCGAGTTTTACTCGTGCATCTTGAGAATGGAACTGACGAGCTCTATCTTAGCCCGCATGAAGAGAAGATTCTAGGCAGTAGCGCCGGCCTTTGTGAGACAGCTATTGTCCCTACCTAAGGTTTGCATTAAGCACTCTGTTCAAGTTTGACATTGGAATGCCACTAGGCTACATATTTGAGACCTGACGGACCATGTTTGATTGCGACCCCTGAGACAGCGTCTGCAACTGCACTGCTCACGTTTGCATGAATATCTCGGGCGCTTACACTGGACGACAGCTGTTCTGGGGCGGTTAATAATCTACACATACTTCAGATCGCCAGTTTCTTATGCACAAACCCAGACACCTGAGACAGGCGAAAAAGGGACAGCCAACAAGATGCTTCCATTGCTAGCATTGTTATGCTATGATTAAACTCAATCATATCCACCCACCCAGTCTTTGTCTTGTTACTCTCTCAGTCTCTCCATTCCAAAACAATATCTTCCGTTTCGGCCATGATCCTTCAGCCGAAGATCTTGTCACAGGTCACCATTTAATGTCTCGGAACAAGGAGAGTAGAGAAGCCAAACATGCATGTCATGCTGGTTGTAACATAAGATTATTCTCTGCCGGGCAGCAGATAGAGGCGCGAACCTCGTTTGCCCGTACAATCTATCGTTCTGATGACAAGGGTCCAATGGTAGTTCCAGCCAAGTCTCAAATTCCTCCTCTTACACCATGCTCAACGATGCAATACACAAGCCAAATCCATAACCATCTCTCATGCAGCTTTCCACAGGTATCTCCTACTGATCAGATCGCAGCATAAAGGGGTGCAGACAAACAATGAAAAATCGTCTAGTCCCAGTCCAATCAAGGCCAATCCACTTCAACATGAATCTACACCCTGTAAGTAGCAAAGACCAGGCATCGGAAAAATACACTTCGGTTCAAAGCCACCACAAGGTAAAGACGTATGTTCGTTGTGGACATACTGGTGCCCTTCCACTACCCAACCAAACTCCAAAATATCCCATCTGGGCGTACATGATTTCCGAATGAAAAAGTTGAGCTTTCAGTAAGCGCTGTTGGTACTGGTACCTCGAGGTAGTAGAGCCGGGCTGGTAACTCAGCTGAACCATCAACTGGATGCTTCCACCATCACCGCTTTTGGGGTATTAACTTCCTGCCACGAAGCCAACGGGAGGGTCTGATTCAAGATGCAAGGAGCTCAGTGTATGAATTCAACTCTGAGCTCAAGACCGCACCTTGAATGAAACCAAAACGTCCACCGGAATGCTCATCGATGGCCAAGATTCAAGATTATAGGCGAAACGCTGCCCATCCCGTAGACATTTGTATGCAGGAAATAAGAAATAAGAAATAGATATAGTTCAAAAAACAAGAAATGCATAACGCGCTTATCATCAACTTTGTCATCTCTCATAAGAAAAAAAATCATCAGTAAATGTAGTCGTCCATGGCAAAGGACGGATCATATGGTGCATGGTTTCCAGAATATCCACGATGATGCGAGTCAGAACGACTGGGGGTATGTGGTCGGTAAGGGAGAGCCTTCTGTTCTACTCGGCTGCGGACATCTTCAAGCTGGTAGTAACTGCTAGCACGGTCGCTGCCAACTCTAGAGCTGCCGGTAGGTCTTGAAAATGTGATCTCGCCTCCATCGCCGCACTCAATCTCAGCACCCGACACTCGCACGACAGCCGAGCCTGACACTTTGATCGTGACGTTGTCAGTGTCGCTTGAAGAAGAACGAGTGAGACCAGTGGTGTTGCTTCGCTTATACTCGCTATCATCATGGCTGCCGCTACTTCGACTGCTCCCGCCGCCAAGCCGGGGGTTGCTAGCTTTGCGTAGGGTTTCAGCAGTCAATGGCATGGCGGGACCGCCATTGATGTCGTCCTGGTATCGCATAGCGTCCAGGTACTTATCCTCATCCAAACTGACACCTCCACCACCAAGTGAACGATCTTCGTAGTAGGAATCTCGTCGAGTTCGGGCAGGCACAATGTCGATTCCACGCTGTTCATATGCAACAGAGCCTCGTCGAGTGCGAGCGGGTACAAGATCAGCACCATGATGCTCATAGGCGACAGAACTGCGTCGAGTACGGGCCAAAGCTGTACGACGATCGAAATTGGCTTCAGGAGAGTCCGCAAAAAGGCCGGGACTGTCATTGTAGTCTTCATCATCATAGCCTTGATCAACGAACCCAACGCGGCTACGACCCGAAGGCGGTGGCCGCGAGGGAGTCCTCGTCTTTTGCCTTGTCAATGACTGAGGAGGGGGGCGGAATGGAGTGGTTGGAGGAGGCATCGCAGACTTGGGTCGTGGGATGCTGTCAGGAGGAGGCATACGCCGGCGATCCTCGTCATTCTGTTGAGGCCTCTTGGAGCGAGAGGCACGTCTAATGAGACGGGGATCAGGCTGTTCCTCCTCCTCAAAGTCATCCTGAGGATACCCAACGTTTGATGGTGAAGGCTGTTGTTGACGGAAACCCATGGATGAAGCTGGCCGCTCAAAACGGTTTCTGAGGTGGGCGCTGGCCTGCTGCGAAGGCATATCAAAGAACCCAGGTGTTCCAGCACCTGGGCCAGGCGAAGGCGGAACGCCGACCACTGAGGGAGACTGTCCTCCAGGGAAGTAAGGTGGTGGCGGGAATGATCCGACGGGGAAAGAAGGTTGAGAAGCTTGGGCATGGTGCCAGCCAGCATTGGAAATTGGGGGAGCGGTTTGTCCAGGGTAATAGCTATGAGGTCGAGTCTGAGCACGGGGGCGCATGCCAGAGACGGCAGGCTGCTGGATACCGTAACAGGAGGGATCCTCGACACGACCTCGGCGATATTGTTGAACAACAGGCTCAGTCTTGGTGTGAGTGAGTGATGTTGGGCGAGGTCTTCTCACAGGCTTGGGCTCACGTTCCTTGAGTGGTTTGGCTTCGGCTCGGACCCTCCGTTGTTGCTGCTCAGCAGCTTCCTTCTGCTTGCGCTCTTTACGACGTCGATCTTTATCGCGCTGTTCGCGAGCTTCACGTTCGTAGTCTCGGCGGGGACGCTCTTCCCTGCGAGGGGGCTCTTCATCAGAGAGCCCTTCACTGGGAGGAGAAACGTGTCGCCGGCTGGAATATCTCCTGGTTTCACCTCGAGACTTTCCTGTGTTGGGGCGTTCCTTAGGTGGACTAGCGGGGCCAGGAGCTTCAGAGACAGCATAGCGACGGGTGGATTGGATGCCCTCGAGGACAGAGCTGCCGGAATCCTCCTCGGCATCCTCGACGTAGCAGACGTGGTTGGACATGGTGTAGTTAGAAGATCGGAGAAACCTGAGAGCGAATTCGGCTCCAAAAAGAGTCAATTCGATGAGGGGGTTCGACGGGATCGAACAGGGACCACGCTGGGCGGGATGGCACAGTTGGTGGATGAGATCGCAACTCCAGGCGGTGAGAGCGCCAGTGGCGTTGATGTTGACGGTATCTGCGATCGCGAACGCAATGCTTTAACGTCCCCTTTCGTGAAACCTAACAAGCGACATGTGAAGGAAGTCGAATTCGTTGACCAAGACAGCTGCAGCCGAAAAAAGTCGCGAGTAAAATGTCGCTGGTGAGTTGGATACAGAAGGCGGTGACGATAGTGGCATACACCAGGGCGCTTTTCGATGGAGACGCTAGTAGCGACGGATATGTAATGTTCGATGCTTGGTAGATGCTGGTGCTATAATGCTGATCGAGGTGAATATAATGCTCGACTGGAAGCGAGAGCAGAGCGAGGAGGAATCGAAGAAATATGTTTGTTTTAAAAAGACAATGTATCAAACTGTCATGGGAGAAAGACAAGACAAGAAGGAGGGGAGGAGGGGGGAGAAGCGATGGGCATGGATGGATGGGATGGTCTGTTTTTAATAAAAGTGCCCAGGTGGTGGTAATTTCAGGGCCTGGGGGGGTTCAGCATTTTCTGAGGCAGACCTACCTCAGAGTGTGGGGGGCGTGTAGGTATTCAGATCCATCTGTTACCGGTAGTTTTAGTGGTAATGCAGCACTATTACCGCCCAGGGCGGACAAGCAGCCACAGGACGTTGTGGCCGTTGACGTTTTGATAGAATGAGCCAGTGATGAGAGGCTATTTGATTTGAGCCCAATGAGAAGTCATGTGGACAACAAGAATTGGATCGTACCATGGAAGACTCGACATCTCGAGCTTGAAGTGATAGAAAACTCAACACAATTGACAGAGAAGGAGGAGGGAAATGAGAGAGAATGAGAGAGCGCAGGTGTGTGGATGGGCGTGTGAGTAAACCCACCTCAAGGTGCGACTCTAGAGGAAGCAAGGGAGAATCTCGTCAGTGAAAAGGGAGGGGGTGGTTCTACACCACGGGACGATGGACGATCAATCAAGCGACTCAACGCTGGAGCCAGCACAGCAATGGAACTGCACACTGCAGTCAGTCAAATCAAATCAAATCAACCACGTCAAGTCGCTGAGAGCAATGACGAAGGCACTGACACAAAAGCAGAACAAGACGCAGATAGGGGGGATTGGTTGTCGTCTGTTTTCACTCGTCCGTTTTGCCCAAAATATCTTGATTCATCAGCACCAGAAAAAGTCAGCCAGTGAGACAGGCACAGACACAGTCACTCGCTCACTCGATCCTCGTTCATCCAGCAACGGATCACTACGTGCACTATTATTAACACAGCAGCCACAAACATAGACATCCGTCCGTTCGTTCATGCTTCCCGCCTCTTGCTTCCCGACTCATGTACGGATAGTGAGTGTCAATGACTCCTGAATGCGCTGTATTGTATTCGTCAGCATCTCTGTCTCTCACTCACCATGGACACTTCATAGGTGGCAGGGGAGCCTTGAGGTGAGGGTCTCTCGCTCCGGCCCGCCTCACTCAATGCGTTGGCAGTTGGCATTTTCTCCTGCTCAGCTAAGCAACATAGTTGCCCCAGATTCTCTTTTCCACTCCAAATTCCCGTCTACCATTCCCTTCTGAATATTGAAAAACTCAAAATACCATAGAAAACAGTCATGCCAGAAATTGAAGAGGTGGGGGTGGCTACTGTATTCAAACCAGGGTCCTCACTTTTGCTGTTGTGCTTTGCTGGTCGTGGTGCTGAATGGAATGGATTGTGGAGCCATCCCGCTCCGGCCACCAACAAGCAAGCGAGCTGGATGATGGAGTTTTCACTATCTGTAAGCTTCGAGTCACTCTCAAAATTAGGTGTGCTGGGGTATGCCTGTATTGATTCAACGGCCAAAACGATTGTCAGTCGATATGGTCTTTCGGATGGAAAATCTCTTCTTTCTAGTCTCGCCGATTATTCTTAGCCGTCCGTTTACATGGGAACGATTATTGAGACTCCAAGCGCATTATCGATGATGGCCAAAGGTAACCAGCCACCAAGCCCCAAGATCTGGCTCATTTTCACCGACTTCAGCCATCAATTCAGAACAATCCATGTCAGGATTACACATGGACCCTGTTAATTCATTGAATTGTCATGTGAGTTGTCCCAAATTGTGAAACATTCGCGATACAAAACACCAGCAAACAATCGTTAAGCCATAATATACATACTCATCATCAAGTGAGGCGGTTAATCACTGGCTCGCTGTCGATAAAAGCTGCCCGCTAACTTAGACGCTTTCCAATCCCGAATCCTAGCGACCCAGAAACCCGACCCAGCCCTCGCCGCCGAGAATGGATCTGATCTGTCGACACGACCCCAGATGGTGCCCTGAAAGCCCGCATTTGAGGGATTGTTGAGAGACTTTCGGGCGGGCCTGGGTGTTATCTTACAGGGAATGCCTTTGTATGACTGGCGCCAGTCCCAAGCAGTCAGGCCCAACTGTGGATCTTGTTCAGAGCCTTTGATCCAACGATTCTTTTCGAATCTTCCTCGCCTTCGCTGTCTGCCAGTCACCAAAGATATCCGGTGCCAAAACCCGCATTACACACCTGAACGAGGCTGATGACACACCCCTCCCAGAAGAAGAAGAAGAAGAGAAGGATTGTGGCTCACCCTCGAGGAATTGTAGTTTCTTACCAGTGAACAGAACTGCTTTGAATGCTGCGCTCGGCACTGTAATGGCCATGTTGAGATAAATCATGGCTGGCTACAGATTTTGCTCCATCCAAAACCTCGAGGGAACAAGAAGAAGCGTAACAGGGTTGTTCGCCGTCAGATGGACCGTTCCCGATAGGTGACAGGTAAATGACAGGCCCGAATCTCAACCGCTTTTCTAGGCAGATCGGGCTTGTGCACACATGGCACAAGGGCTTGACGAGGTAGGACAAGATACACAGAGTAGGATAGCCATGCCGAGCTCGCCAAACGGCTGTGCCTCTGCGAAGTCAATCATGAATATTGACCCTCGTACTACAGAGCTGAGAGACGCCTGATTATCCTCAAGAGGGGCGTAAAACGCCATCACGATTTCTCATGTCTCCGTTGATCTACGCCTCCACCAAAGTGCCGTGTTTAGCCCGCCTCCGGAGCCTTCTTCACCTTCGTGCCTAACTGGGCGTAGACCATTGCCCAAGCTGGCTCAATTCCCTTGCTCGGGTACCAACAATGAACCCGATCTACACCAAGTTAATGCCAGACGTGAGTGCAGCGCGGGGTACACGTGGGATATCGAAGCACCGCTGCTAAGCCTGGTCGTGACAAGCTGTCTACCATCCATGTCTGGGGCTTGTGACTGGTTGTCGCGATTGAATTGAGGCTCCGAGCTTGGCCGTCTAAGTTTTGAGGTTATTGTAAAGTTGACTCACAGCAGGAGCAAGAATGTGTTTTGTTTACTTGCGACAGTGCCTCTTCATTTCTTTGCGATTCCTCCTCAGAAGATAAAGAAAGAAATTGCTCAAGTGTGCTGTCACTTGTTTCATCGCGCTTGCGGCGCTGACCCTTCTATTTGACAGGTGTAATAGGTGAGTAGATAGCTTTGCCGCAATGACCATCCATGCTTGATGCTTGCACGGGCCTGGTGGTGCCCAACCTTCAACGGCCATATACAATGGCCTCGGAGTCTCTCCATGACCAAGTTCGGGCGGTTAGTCCCGCGCTCGGCGATGCTGCCGCCAATTCATCCCCTGCTGATTTCTGGCGATCCGGTCCAGCCTCCGTTCAAGCATCGTGTCGCACGATTCGTCACGGCATGAATACGTGTCCAACACAGCTTCCGGCTTGGAAAGCCCCGGAGTGAACGACTCCACTCTCTCCGGCTTCACCTCCTTGTCCTTCCGCGCCCAGGCCGGAGATTGGATCGACGAACAACAGGCACAAGATTGCTTCAAACATGTCATGTGAGTTGTTTTTGTTTCATACTCAAACCTAGATTCGGACGGTGGCTTCGAGAACAACAACAACAACACGTCCATGCAATTGTGACTCCGTCGCCATTTATGCTGTATCCGATTACCAAGCAGCCAGCGCTCTTGGGCAACTTACATCGAGTAATTCTAATACCGTAGTGAGTCGGTGACATATCTATCAGCTGACTTGGATGAGTCGCAATCGAGGAGGAACACGCTTGATTCTTATTCGATCTACCTGTCTAACAATCGATATCTGTCGTCTCTGTCCACGCCCCTGCACCGCCATCACCTTGCACCCTCTAACCTCATGCTTACCCTTTCCATTGCACATTCACCCACCAACTTTCCCTACCGAATTCTCGGATTTTAGCCCACGATGCAATATTCGGTCAACTCGAGGTAGTTGATTGGCTTCTTGTCTGCTTAAATATGCCACGCTGACAGTTTGTGTTTCCCAAGATCTCTGGGACTGCTACGAGCTCGCTGCTGTGTTGCCCTCGCTCTGTCTTGACAGGCACAAAGACGATTGAGCATCTCCAGTTGTGAATTGCCGGGTTCGAAGCTGCTGCTCGCTAAGCCAGACGGGGATACCTTTCAGCCGGGGTTCTCTCGGATGGCTTGCCTTGGCTTTTAGATTGTGTGGGGATAGGCTAGACGTGCATCCAAGGCATTGACGCAGCTCTAAAGGGCCGTCAGCCGGCATGATTAGTTCACGATTCTGGCCATTCACTGAGGTTATGTCTAATCATGTGTGGTTACCGTCAAAATATACGTTTATGAATGCGGCTCCCGGTGGCCAGTTGAGATAGTTCTGTACAGGTCATGTTGAAACAATTTGACAGGCAGCGTATCGTGAATCTCAAGACATCTCGTACACTGATGACTACCAGTTCTCCTTTTCTCAACGAGTCAGACTAGTTCTGAACAACATTGGGTAGTGCAGCTATATTAGTCTTGTTGTTATGGATGACAAGCAT